GGAGTCCAGTCCCCCACCCACCGCCCCCTGCCAGCCCCAATAATTATTTATTTATTTTTAAAATTATTATTTATTTTATATTTATTATTATTATTATTATTTTAAATTTTCTATAGGGCTCACCAGGGAGAGACATTGAGAGAGTTAGGTAAAGTGAGAAAAGCAAGCCACCAGGTCTGGGACTTGAACCACTTTCAGCCATGTGGGTGTCCAACGCCTTAACTGTGCCACCTGCTGGCCCTCCTCTTTTGTTTCTTTCCTTTTTTTTGAGAGATTTTTTGTTATAGGGCAAGTGTGCTAGCTGGAGAAAGAGAGAAAGTGAGAAGTCACCTCCCGCAGGGGTGATGGCCGTGCTGTAGTCCCTTTTTCTCCATTTTCCTCTCAGGATTTTGTGCACCCAGGCACATGCACCCTGCGTAAGTTTCAAGCTCCTGGGTCAGGGACTCAAACTGCAGTTGAGCATGTGGGAGTCTAGAGCCTTAGCAGCTACACCACTTGCTGGCCCCCCCTCTTTTGTTTCTTAATAGAGTTTGCTTAGGAAATCTGAAGCTGATTATGATTAGTCATTCCATCCTACTGTATGGTGACATCACTAGCGGTTGTATTTGTTTATATTGAGTTTCTCAAAATAGGATGCTTTTTTCTTTTGGCTACTGTATCAGAATGGAAGGTATAGTCTTTGAATGCTTGGGCCCAGGAGGTGGTTAAGGTACTAGAGCACTATATGGCCGACCATGGTTTCAGTCCCAGACCTGGTGGCTTGCTTTCTCACTTTCCCTCTCTCTCTGGTGATAAAGAAAATTAAAAAATAATAATAATAGGGACTGGCAGTTGACATGGTGGTTAAGGTGCTGGACTCTCACATGGTTGACCATGGTTCGAGTCCTGGACCCGGCAGCTTGCTTTCTAATTCTCTGTCTCTCTCTAGTCAAATTAAAATGTAATAATTATAAATAAAATTAAATAAATAATTCTTAAAAAATAATAACCTTTGAATGCTTCAATACATTTTTGTTTGTTTATCCTTTATAGTCGAAGCAGCTGGAGGAAAGGCCTTGCCGTGTGTTGTCGACGTGAGAGATGAAGAACAGATCAGTAACGCAGTGGAAAAAGCAGTTGAGAAATTTGGAGGTAGTACCTTTGTTCTGAAATAATTTTATTTTATTTAGAATTATTTTATCTAACTCTATTTATTTATTTATTTTAACTTGACCAGAGAAGGACAGAGTTAGAGAGAGAGAGAGAAAGCAAGAAAGCAAGCTGCCAGGTCCAGGACTCAAATCGCAGTTGCCCACATGGGAGTCCAATGCCCCCAACCACCAAGCCACCTGCTGGCCCCAATAATTTTTGAATATTGATAAAATAGAGGTGTAACTATAATTTTTTTGAGAGGTTTTTGCTATAGGCCACATGAGTTCACCAGACAGACAGAGAGAGACAGAGAGACAGAAAGTGAGAAATTACCCCCCAGGGGGGATGGCCACGCCGCAATCCCTTCTCCTCCATTCTCCTCTTGGGATCTTGGACATGCATGCACACACACCCATCGTGAGTTTAAGCCACCAGGTCCGGGACTTAACCACGGTTAACTACATGGGAGTCCAGCGAAGTAGCCATTACACCATCTGCTGGTCCCAGAGGTGTAACTATAATTTTGAATTTTTTGTTTTCTGAATCTTTGAAGCATAACCAGAAATAAGTGTGTGCTCCTGTAAGAGCATGGCTTAAAGCCATCTGACGACTTTTATTTTTGAGTTATTTATCTAATTTTATTAATTCATTCTTTTTTTTTTTTTTTTGAGAGGTTTTTGCTATAGGGCACGTGCGCTTGCCAGAAAGAGAGAGACAGAGAGACAGAAAGCGAGAAATCACCCCCCAGGGGGGATGGCCATGCTGCAATCCCTTCTCCTCCATTCTCCTCTCATGATCTTGGGCATGCACGCACATGTGCCCAGTGTGAGTTTAAGCCACTGGGTCTAGGAGTCAGACTGTAGTCGACTCCATGGGAATCCAGTGACATAGCCATTACACCAACTGCTGGTCTTCTATTCATTTATTTTTAATTTGACCAGAGAGAAACAGAGAAAGAGAGAGAGAGAGAGAGAGAAGGAAAGTGAGAAAGTAAGCCATCAGGTCTGGGACTCAAACTATGGTCGGCCATGTGAGTATCCAGTGCCTTGGCCACCACACCACCTGCGGGTCCCACCAGTTGATGACTTTTCTTTAAATGTTGAAATTTTTTTTCAGTAATATAAGAAATTAACCACTGGAAATAAAGTTCTGAACCTTGAAAATAATCTAAAAATGTGGTTCCTCAGATGTTATCTATCTGCTTGCCTCTTTGTCTCTTCCTGATTAATGTAAATATTATTTTGATATTTACTGGATAAAATGCAAATACTTTCTTTTTTTTTTTTTTTAATTACCAGAGAGTGTGCATGCTCACTGGAGAGAGACAGAGACAGAGAAGGGGGAAGAACCCCCAATAGATGTGGTCATGCCACAAACTCAGTGTGTTGCAAACACTTTATTTACATTCAAGATACTTTATACTGAATTTCAACAGACATTTCTTTTCTTTTTTTTTCTTTTTCTTTTTTTTTTTTGAGAGGTTTTTGCTATAGGGCATGCGCGCTTGCCAGAAAGACAGAAAGCGAGAACCCCCCCCCGGGGGGATAGCCACTCCGCAATCCCTTCTCCTCCATTCTCTTGGGATCTTGGGCATGCACGCACATGCGCCTGGCATGAGTTTAAGCCACCTGGTCCAGGACTCGAACCTTAGTCGACTACATGGGAGTCCAGCGACATAGCCATTACACTAACTGCTGGTCCCAGACATTTCTTTTTTATATACCTCTATACACACTTCCTACTCTGGCCAAAATAGTTTACTTCCTTGAATATTTTGCCTTTTTCTTTTAGAGATTTTTGCAATGGGGCATATGTGCTCACCAGAGAGACAGAGATAGAAAGACAGAAAGTGAAAAATCACCCCCAGTGGAGATGGCCATGATGCAATCCCGTCTCCTCTATTCTTCTCTCAGGATTTTTGGGCATGCATGCACACGTGCCCAGTGTGAGTTTTAAGCCTATGGGCCCAGGACTTGAACCATGGTTGACTGTGTGGGAGTCTAGTGACAACCATTATGCCATCTGCTGGTTCCAATATTATACTTTTTTTTTTTTTTTTTTGGAGAGGTTTTTGCTATAGGGCACAGAAAGAGAGACAAAAAGTGAGAATCACCCCCCAAGTGGATGGCCATGCCGCAATCCCTTCTCCATTCTCTTCTTGAGATCCTGGTCATGCACATACACGCACCGGGTCCGGGACTCAAACTGCAGTTGACTACGTGGGAGTCCAGCAACGTTGCCATTATACCATCTGCTGGTCCCACTGCTATTATACCTTTTTAAAGTTTTCTTTTTCCCCTTCCATAGGCCTCATCCCACTACCTATTTTTTTTTTTTTGCTAGAGGACTTGCCAGAGACAGAAATCACCCCGTAGGAGGATGGTCACACTATAATCTCTATTCTCCTCTTGGGATTTTGGGCGTGCATATATGCACAATCAGCATGATTTTCAAGCCACTGGGTCTGAGGCTTCACCCTTAGAGTTGACTATGTGGGATCCAGCTCCCTTAACCTCAGTGCCACCTGCTGGCCCCTTTGTTTGTTTTAACGAAAGGAGGAGAAAGAGCATGAGAAGGAAAAAGAAAGAATGAGATAGGTATCTTTGATGAGATCGCACCATTTTGTAATCCTCCTAACCCAGCCTCCTGGTTAGCTAGGTCCACAGGTATGCCAGCATGCCCAACCTGTTTAGGTTGGGCTGGGAGCTAAACCTGGGCTCTTGCTTGTGCCAATAAGAATGGATTCAGTAAAGTTTGATTTCCTGAAGTTTTGAGTTTCGTTAAAATGAAGTTATAAGGGAACCAGCAGTTAGCGTAATGGCTATGTCACTGGACTCCCACGTAGTCGACTGTGGTTTGCGTCCCGGACCCGGTGGCTTAAAACTCACGCCGGGCGCGTGTGCGTGCGTGCCCAAGATCCCGAGAGGAGAATGGAGGAGAAGGGATTGCGGCGTGACCATCCCCCCTGGGGGGTGATTTCTCACTTTCTGTCTCTATGTCTCTCTCTGTCTGGCGAGTGCACGCGCCCTATAGCAAAACAAAAACAAACAAACAAAAAACAACCTCTCAAAAAAAATGAAGTTATAAAATGTAAACAGTTGAATCTAAAGTTATTCTAAGGACACTTCATGAGAAACATTAGCAATACAAACTCTATGTTGAAGCTCATGGAAATTGAGGAATGAGGACATGATCAAAATTTTATGTTGCTATCTGTGATGAAAGGATACTTGTGACTAAAATATTTTTTCTTTTTCTTACTTTTTCCTTTTCTTTTGTTTTCCTTCAGGAGACCATAGGTTTACCTCTATACAATGTACCAATAATTCCAGCTGTTTTGGGTGATTTGAATGATTAAAATATTTTTGTGAACTTAATAACCTTATTTAAGTCATTACTTACATATTTTGAGCGAGGGGGACAGGAAAGTTATAAGAGGATAACAAAAGATGTTCATGGTAACAGTCTAACTGCTAAAGGGAAAATTGTGGTGTTTCTACTTGATGGAATATCAAATGCCCTTTTTTGTGTGTTTATTTATTTATTTAAGGATTTTTTTCATAGGATGCATGCACTCACCAAAAAGAGACAGAGACAGAGAGAGGAAAAGTGAGAAATCACCCCCCAGGGGAAATGGCCATGCTGCTATCCCTTCTCTGTTCTCCTCTCAGGATTTTGTGCATGTACTCACACACACCTGGCATGAGTTTCAAGCCTCTGGGTCTAGGACTTGAACCGCTGTTGGCCATGTGAGAGTCTAGCACCTTAACTACTATGTCACCTGCTCGCCCCAGGAGTCCAGTGTCTTAATCACCACAGCACCTGCTGGCCCCATATTCTAACTTTTTTTTTTTTTTTGAGAGGTTTTTGGTATTAGAGTGTGTGTACTCACCAGAAAGACAGAGAGAGACAGAGAGATAGAAAGCGAGAAATCACCCCCCAGGGGGAATGGCCACGCCGCAATCCCTTCTCCTTCATTCTCCTGTTGGGATCTTGGGCAAGCACACACACGCCTGGTGTGAGTTTAAGCTACCAGGTCTGGGACTCGAACTGAAGTCGACTACATGGGAGTCCAGCGACATAGCCCTTATGCCAACTGCTGGTCCCCCATTTTTTTTTTTTTTAATAATGTCCACATTTTTTTTAAACTTTATTTAACTTCTATTTATTTATTTTTCAATTTGAACAGAGAGGGACAGAGTGAGAGAGAGAGAGAGAGAGAGAGGGGAAAAGTGAGAAAGTGAGCTGCTAGGTCTGGGACCCACATGGTGGTTGGCCATGTGGGAATCCAGCGCCTTTAACTACCATGCCATATTCTAACCATTTCTTTAAAAATAATTATTTAATTCCTTTTGTCGTTGTTATTCTTTTTTTTTTTTTTTGGAGAGATTTTGGTATAGGGTGCGTGTGCTTGCCAGAAAGACAGAGAGTCAGAGAGACAAAGTGAGAAATCACTCCCCAGTAGGAACGGCCACACTGCAATCTCTTCTCCTTCATTCTTCTCTTGGGATCTTGGGCATGCATGCACACACACACGCCTGGTGTGAGTTTAAGCCACCGGGTCCAAGACTTTAACCGCTGGTTGACTACATGGGAATCCAGTGACATAGCCATTATGCCAGCTGCTGATCCCATGTTGTTATTATTTTTTAATTTGGCCCAACAGAGATAGAGAGAGAGAGAAATGGAAAGCGAGAAAGCAAGCTGCCAGGTCCAGGACTCGAACCACGGTTGGCCATGTGAGAATCCAGCACTCTTAACTACCATGCCACCTGCCAGTCCCTATTCTAACCTTTTTTTTTTTTTTTTTTGTGGGTTTTT